AACTGCGACCACACAAAAGGCCACACCATCTTGGTCTTCATACCTTTGATTAATTAGGTTATTTACTTACATGAGCTCCTTTGATAAAAGATTGCGTGGCACCGCCTACCTCTCTCGTGCAGTAGTAAGGATGTCGGTCTACATCGCTTGCGTATAACAGATCCAATTAATCTAATAGTATACTTGTTAATTGGGAAGATGCTCATAATAATGAGGTGCCATTGCAAGCAGTTGAGAAATCAGAACTTCACCGGGTCAAAACTACAGTCCATTCTCGAATTCGTTGGTTAGGCAAGGTTATGCATCATGTGGTTTACCCATTTCATTGTGTGGAATTCACATATCACTCCTACATAATCTTAAGAGATCTAAAGTGACAATTAAATATCAAAGTTCTCAAAGAAATACCCACTAAGTTTATCGAAACGGAAAATACAAGTCCGCTTTCTCGAAAGTGAATAAAAGGTAAAACATCATGCATTAATAGGAAAATTCTTCGAAACCCCGCTTCTTTTCATATCTACAAAGGGATCCTATCTTCTACAATATTTCAAAAAGGGATTAGCTCATTTCCCAGATAAAACTGAAAATCAGCTTTAGCAGAGAATATGAGAAAAATGATTTCAAAGCGCGTATCCAGAACCTACGTCAAGGTAAGTAGATCCGATTGCTGCCAATAGCCACGTATAACGGCCGTCATAATAAAGTGATATCAAGAAGCCGATGATGGGCAAATTAAACGAACATCAGCTCAGGGTCTGACGATTTTCATAAAACAAGGAATTATCTCAAACAATTAGGTAATGTGGGATTTTTCGGAATATGGTCTGAAATCATTAATTAAAAATTTAAATATGTGCCTCGTGAGCATGCTTATTCTACCACACGAACCCATGATATAAATTACTATGAATAGAAGTACTTCACGTGCTAAGCATACGAAATCATTCCTTGAAGAAGTCAAGAGCTGATCAATCCTATTTAAAATGGGCGATATTGACCATTGATATCCGTAGCTGAGGTACACAAAGGCTGAGCAGACTTACTCAAGTCCAAATGAGTTGAGTGCGAGCCCAGCGCGGCATTACCGGCAGTCGTAATCATGGAAACAGCTGGTTGGGTTGGGATTGACTTGGCAGAGGAAAGGCTAGGATTTAAGTGGGTAGTGGTGATATCAGAGGTGGAAATGACTGGAGAGTCAGGCTGAATCGCAGCCGTTTGCAGCGCAGCACAGCTACTCTCTGGAACCGAAACGCCCTTAGTTGCCTGTAGAGGCCGGGTTAGTTGCTGAAACAGCAGCTGCTGAGCTGGAGGTAGTTGAGTGCGTCTCCCGAGCAGACCGAGGCAGCATTGTTCTTTTAAAGCGGCAGCCAACTGGATGGGACCAATCGCCAGTTCTTCCGTCTCGCGATCCCGCTGGGACAGTGAGTTGCACGATTCAGAAGCGGTTGGTTCAGCTGCGAAAGTCACACAAGATCCAATAGAAGACGGATCGACATCACAGGGCTCATGATAGATAGCGTGTCCGGAGGAAAGACTAACCAGATTATCCAGAGCCAGCCAAGCACGTCGTGAAGTCACAGTGGTTTGTGAAGATTGATTGGCAGATTGGGTAGTGATGGTAATAGAGGGGACATAAAATGAGGTGGATGAAAGAGAAGCTGGCGAGATATCTTCCACATTGAGAGAGTTCTGAGTAGTGCAAGAACGAAAATCGTTCAGAGGAGCCGAGGATAAAGCAGAAAGAACATTTGGTGTAGAAACTCGGCAAGAAAAAGCAGGCTCGTGGAAGCACCCGGGAGTCACCGAATGCAAAGGAACTTCTGTGAAAGGGACACTGCTGCCACTAATACCGGAGTCAAAACGAGTTGATGGGGCAGTCTGCCAAGCTTGACATTGGTGGGGGCTATGACTGCGACTTGGATCACATCCTGGAATGCCAATATCGACGGCGCAATTGTGCTGATCAGACAGCTGCGAGTGTAGAGAAATAAGACCGGGGGAATCTGTACGCGGTGAAATCCCATGATAGGTGAGGCCCAAAAGGCTTAGTTGGTCGATGGATAGGCCATTTGCGGGAATAGTCAAAGTCTCTTCATACTCCTCCTCGAAGAGGTTCTAAAATCCCAGAGACGAGCAAAAATGAAAATTACAAAGTAAAATAATTATTGGAAAAGTTTGACCTGGAGGGTCATAATTGCTATTCCAAATGATGTTTCCTGAGACTCTTTGCAAAAAGATATATCGGCCACAAAAGATAATTCGTCGCAAACTGATAAGGTGAATTTATAGGCTTAAGTCATTAACTAAGGAGTACGTAGCCCCACATTTTGGCTCAACTATGCTAATCCACCTAAGAAAAATCGCCTTCATATATACAAATTCATAATACCCAGATTACAGAATGACCTAGTCATTAGTAATATTAGCAGCAGCTATAAGGCACACATGCTTCAATCGTGCATGCCCAGAACCTAAGAAACAAAGAAATCATATTTTCAGTTTATAAGTTAGTTTTCGAAACAACCAGTAGATTTAAAATAAGAGCTATATTGACCCTGCTTGATTTAAGGTCGTGAAGGACCGGTAGTTAAATTTTTCAACAAGGATATGAGTAGACCTCATGTTTCCATTAAAAACCTACTTATAAAGTCAAAATAAATTGTGAAGTTGATTGCTATGGCAAATAAAACTGATTCGTAGGCAATCCCCCTATGGAAATGTGAGAAAGGCCTAGGCTTCCTTTAAATTTGCTTCTGCTCTGTGACCAAAACAGCGTATCGGTAACGTGTCTGGATTATATGCTGCGCTCTCATGATTAGGATGTCGCAGGGGGTGCTGACGAGACCTAGGTTAAGTCGAAACTGCAGTCCACCCTGGATGAGAATACCTTTAGAGAAGCAAGGTTATGTGAGATACAATGGAAAAGTATGGCCTACTCAAATCATTGTTGGAAAAATTTAACTAACAGTCCTTTGTCATCTTAAAAGAAATAGGTTGAATGCAGCCCTTATAAAAACAATGTGATTTTAATAATATATATTTTTAAAGGTATAATATAGATAAAAATAAATGGAGCATATGATCGCAAAGATAAGATCAACGGTTATTCCTCAAGCATATGTAGCCCAATTTGTACATTGATGTGCATCGAATGAGTTTTATTAAGGTGACATAAAGATAACACATTTTAAAGAGTAGTTTTCAAGACTATCACTAGTTGTTAAATAAGAACTTGAGTTTTAAATTTAGTCTCCATAGCTCGTTTGAGATGACTTAATGACTGATAGTAGATCTTTCTTTAGATGATATGAATAGGCCTCACGATTCCATTAAATTTTACTTAACCTTAACTCTCAAAATGCTTTCTCATTCAAAGGTGACCAAAGTTTTCACCCCACTTAAGTATCATCAGCACCTCTAGTTGGATTCTAAATCGAGCTGTGGGCATTTTAGCGACATGCTAACACTTCGCTAAGTAGCCAAAGATGCCAGTGGCCCAAAACGATTTCAAGGCGAGCCAGGCCTCAGCAAATCACTTTTATAGTGGGATTGTCGAGGAGACCTAGGAATGGCCAAAACCACAGTCCACCCTAGATAATAAAACTTTTTGGAAGACAGAGCTAGGTTAAATTCATCGACATCATGAAGCCTACTAGCATCATTTAGGTAAAAATAAACTATTAGTCCTTAAATTACTTAAGGCGACCTAGAGTTAAAAAGGCCTTATTAAAAAAATTCCTTTCGTTCCCCTAATTCCTGTGCATCAACATTTTACAGCTAAACTAGGATAGAACCACAATATAAAAGTTTATATATCGGATAAAATCACTTGGACTTTTTATTCGGAAT